CCTCCTGGGGAGGGCAGGCAGAGGATACCCAAAGGCTCCTGCAGGTTTGCAATGCACTGAGTCTCCTTATGGCTGCCATGTGCAAAATGAAGCTTTTAGAGCCTTTCCCTTTGAGGATTTATGGCCAGAGCTCCTCCAGTCTTACTCACTGAAATGGATGAACAGCTCTAGATGAAACTTTCAACAACTAATGACAGCAAAGTCAGCCAGAGGCAAAAACCTAGCATGAAGAAGTTCAGCCTAAATTAATAAATTTGGCAAAGTTTTAAGACAGTGAGTGAAAGAGAAAATCTTAAAAGGGGAAGTTTCGGATGACCTTACTGCAATGCACTGCAGCCTGTGGTGTCTGTAATAGGTTATTTCCACAGCATCTGAGCCTCTTCCAATAGTGCATTAAGCAATGTAACTAACATCTGTCACAAGGTTCATTTTCCCTCTCATCTCCTCCCTCGGGGGAAATTCTCTCATTTCTTAACCTCTGCTGGACCCCCACTCAATAATATTCATTACCTCAAGAGAAGAAGGGAAAGCCTATCAAAAAGAGAAAAAAAAAAGAAAAGAGATAGATAGTTGATCTAAGATTCAGGCTGCTTTGGTGACATTTTTAAAGTGTTGTTTGCCAAGCAAAACAGCATTTAAAATTTTTTTCTTTACATGATATTTAAGAATAGAAAAAGAAAGACAAATTTAAATTATTTTTCCTTCACCCATGATTATGCAGCAATTTATCAACAAAATGAAAAAGGAACATCTGACTGGGATTATTTATTATACAGTAAGGCATTTATTTTTTGTTCACTTCACCAGGAACAGCGTCTCTGTTATGGCTAGTTAGCCATCTGTGTCCAAAGAGCTTTCAGGAAAGGATTAAACTGTCATTTGTTTTATTTCATTTCATGAAATAACAGCTCCTAACAGGGCTGGGGCAAGACTTGGATATTGCTGGACTTGTTACTTTAAGGTGGCATTTAAAGAATAACTGGATGTTCCCTAGAGCTAAAGCAAAGCAATGTAAAGTGTGGGGGGTTGTGTTTGTTCTTTTTGCTCCTCACACATGCAGTATCCTACTGGAAATGGCACAGATCAGGCAATCTCTTAGGCAGAAGTAGAATTATCCGTGTATTTATTTTTCTTAATCTGATTCATTCACTTCATTCAATTAGCCAATAAGGCTTTAAGCACTGAGAGACTGTGCAGCTAATCAGGGCTGGAAGCAGGAGGCTGACAAGAATAACCCGGAAAGCAGAAGTATTCCACCTCCTCCAGGTGCAGGGGAATCCCAGCCACCCATTCCCAGCCCCACAGAAGGCAGCACTGTGGCATCCCTTGCCCACCTACAACTGCACAAGTGGGGCAAAAAACTTCTGGCACTTCTTCCCTGCAAAGAAAGAGTAGAATAAGCCACCTGGTGTGGAGACCCTGCCCTCAGTAAGAGCAAATGTGGGAAAACTGTTTGCCAGGAGGATGCACCCTGTGGCCCTCGCAGGGGCAGTGTGGGGTGTCCTGGGGTAGCCTCACAGTGCTCACCAGGAGCACCAGCATCAGCTCACCCACGACCTGTGGCCACAAATCAAAAGCATTTTTTCTAAGAAAGGGGCAAATTTGGAAAGTTTGATGCCAGCAGCTCCTCATGCCACACTTTTACATACTGATTTTTTTGGAAGCTCTCAGTAGCCAAAGCTCTCAGGCACTTGCTGTGCTTCAAGTGACAACTGTGCTCTGCTCATGCCACCTGCACAGGAACTCACAGCCAGAGTGCAAATGGAAGAGACCCCTGGAACAGCTGGACCCAGCACTGGCTGGACCTTGAGGGGGACACTTTAGCCAAGAGGGCTCTTCCAAGAGCCACACATCTGAAAGGATCAGAGAATAGGCATTTTTCAAGGTCTTAGCTTCAGGGAGCACACGTGACACTGCAGTGAATTCCACACAGCACCTGTGATTGAGTGGAAGAGCTGATCTGTCGGGAGTGAGTGGTAGTTAAGGAACCAGGTATCCCATCTGAGCCACTGGCTGCAGCTCTGGAGACTGCTCCAGCAGAAGCTGGTCTGGCACAGCAAAATGTGGTACTGCAGGAGAAATAAAATACTGACATCTATAGGATGTTCAATATTTCTAGCAGCCACAATAGGGAGAACCCCATAAATAATATCTTCACTATCATTTTCTGCGTTCGTTCACATCAAGAGCCATTTTGGCTTTTCTGCCCATCACTGTTCAGGGGCTACTCATTGCAGCCCCAAAATCACTGTGTCCTGCCTGGCCTGGCCTGCAGGACATTCCCAGTGTGCCTCCAGGGATGACAGGGAAAAAACACCTGCAGCAAATGAATGGGATAAACAGAGGCAGCAGTGGAGGTGGACAGAGCTCTGCAGGAATGGCAGCCTCCCTGGGAAGGGGACAGGCTCTCCTCCAGGTGCCACCACCTCTGTCCCCCACTGACAGGACAGCAGCTTCCCCTCTTTCAAGGGATACCCCTTGCTGGGAGGCACATGAGGGGCTCAGTCAGGCCACTGCTGCCTCAGTGACACTGTGAGCAAGGGAACACCGACCTCTCAGCCCGACCCTGGGAGTCCCTGGAAGGATCACCGGGCACACACAGCCCGTGCCCACCTGGCTGTCACCAGTGCCCCAGTGGGACAGCACTGCGCCTCCTGCCACACCTGCTGAAGCTGCTCTGCTTTCTAACCCTTGCCATGTTTGAAATAACCTGGGCACGGGCGGAGGGGCTGCAAGCCCACAGAGCTGTGACCCTGCTCCCAAGCCAACAGGAGCATCCAACTCTCCTGATCAATTCCCAGACAAACAAAAGCCAAGAAAGAGGAAGGACTCCCACGGCAAGCTGCGTTTTCTTAGCAGCAATACAATTATAATGCAGTTAGACTGTATCTGTTTACATTCCCAAACTGAAATAATCTTTTTCTTATCCCCTTGCCTTAACTTCCCTAACATTCCACCACCATGGTGTCAGCAGGGAACCCTCTGCACTGTAATGGAGCTGCACTAAAGAACGGGTCATGGTAGAGACCGAAATTAGCAGTTATACAGAAAAGGCGTTTCATTTTCTGATTTGGACTGGAAATGCCTCTTCTTAGAAAGAATTGGGTTTCTCAGTGTTCAAGAGGAAGACCTGGGAAGATGAAGTAGTTAAAATAATTTCCTCTTTAAAGGCTATTTTGCACCCTGTTTCCTTTCAACTTTGAGAAAAGCTTTGTGCTTTCCCTGTTCGCAGAATGCGAAATAGGCAAGGTTGTTTGATTTCATTAGTGATACCATACAATTCCTAGGATTCTTGCTATGACGTTTGCTCAGGAGAGCTGAGAGAAGATGCAGTCACTTCCTGAGAAGCAGCAAGATTACCACAAGCAGCAATCATGTCAGAATTTGGTTTCTTCACAGACTTACACAGTGTCCCTTCATCTGCTTCTCCCCCATCCCTCTGCTGCTGGGAATCTGCCAAAACACACCTGTGGGAAGTCTGGGCTTTAAAATCTGTGCCTTAAATGTCCCAACAGTTCCCTAACTTGCAGAAAGTTTATTCCTATCAGGTCCTTAATCTCCCATTTTCCTGGGAAAATCTCTGCAAGTATCTTCCTTCAGAAACCCACTATAGAACATGCCTGAACTAAAGAGTCACCCCATGAAAACTGAATGTTCTCCAAAAGATTAAGATTTTTAGATTTAAAATTCTTGTGTTTAGGCTGAAATTACAAGCTAGTAACAACAATCATGTCATTAAATCTGGATGAAAGGTTTTGATCATGGGGAAAGTACATTCCAACACAGTTCAAATGAAAAATCTCAAAGGTTTGAGCCCCTCCCTCTCACACTCCATCTCTCTCCATCTCCCTGTGCATCTGCAGAAACACAGTAAAGAAAGAGCTGAAAAAAGCAAGGAAGAAAAAAGAATTTTCTCTCCAAAATGCAAGCAAAACAACAACAAATTATAACAAATGCTTATTTTCTGCACAGAACACATTCTGGTTTCTTTTCCAACAGGCTCCAGCTCACAGTAAAAGTGTAACACATGAAGGCAAATATAGCTTATTTTTTAGAAATTTCCATGATTTTTTATAGATTGCATTTGTGAGAAATGCATTTGTGCACTTTGAAGTGCCAGTAACAATTTTGTTGTGGGATATACTTCTAATAATTCCTTTGCAAACAGCATGATTATATATTCATTAGAAATGGAAAGTTGTTCTAGAAGACCCAAGCTTCTAAATTAATGGTATTTCAACAAATAAGGTGGCATAAATTCACCATACTGATTGTCCAATTCATCTTCCTCTAAGCTAAAATATATCATTGCTCTCTAATTGCAATTCTCAGCCATGCCATCCTTAATCTTAATTTTAAATGGTCTGCACTTACCAAATTATTTGTGGTGCACTGCACAATTCTCACCCTTAATTGCACGAATATTTTATTTTTGGAACAACACTGCTCAGCAACAGGCTTCATTTTTCCTTTCCTGACTTAGTCTCCATTAAAGTAAAGCATTTACAAAGGCCCTGTGAGCAGGGAGAGAACCTGAGTTGCCCCTCCATGGTCAGCAGCTCCCAGCTAATCACAAGTCAGCCCCAGAGCCCCGTGAGCAGAGCTGTGATTAAACTGTGCCTCAACAAAGCAACTTTGTGCACAGCCCCGACGTGCTCCCGGCACAAACGTCTCCCTCCTGTTATGATTGGTATTCCCCAGATGTTTGACTCCGAGCTCAGCCTTGGCAGGAAAGTCTCTGTGGCTGCAATTCAAGTCCCAGGCTTGAGCAGCTCCAGTGTTTATTCTCATAAGTTACACTTTGTGATGGCTTATGGACAGTTACGTACTTGGTTTTACAGCCACCACTTCAAACCAAGGAGTCAGTGGCAAATGCTTCCCCATTCCACCACTGCCAGGAGGCCCTGCATCATCAACTGTCTCTCAAAACAACAAGCCAACATAAAAGAACAATTTGCTCTAGAAAGAATTAAAAAAAAAAAGCCTGAAATCTTACTTACTAGGAAGTCTTCTTCACAGTACACCTTGCCATTGACATTGTAGAATGCTTTTCCTCGTAGTCTTCTCCCTGTTGAAACACAGGACCATCAGAATTTTGTTCTTCATCCCCAAGCCCAGTTGTTCAGCATGCAAAGTGAAAAGCACACCTCCTGTACCTGTCTGTGGGGTCTGTTCCTGGCCCCTCTCTTCCCTGGAGGGCCCATCCAGAGCCAGGGCTGAGGGTCAGGCTCTTGGCCCTATCTGGCCTTACCAAATCCAGTACCAGCTAAATGTTGGTACCTACTAAATGTTACCTTTAAGTGCAGGTTATGGAAACCAGCTGATAACAATTCCTGAAAAACTTGCAATCTAAGCTCAAAACTCACTTTGGGAAAAAGGCTCCTTTGCAAATTGAGACAATTTTCTTGGCAGGTAAAATCCCAGCAGGCTCACATCCACTGCAATCAACAGCAGCAGCATTTGTCTCCAAAGGAGAAAAATAAAGGATACTGCATATGGATGTTCCTACCCTCAAAAATATTAATAATCAACACCACAGCAGTTCCCTGCGACATTAAAGCAGTACAAGGCACACACGACAGAGTGAAGGGCAGTAAAATCACACAGAAAACAAGAGATTTTGTATTCAAGTTTTGACATTTGCCATTTCATTAGCCCGTGTGGAACTCACTGACAAAGCCTGTGACAGTCATTAACTGATGGCTCCCTTTACAGTGGAGAAATGTACAGCAGACTCCAGAGAGTCCCAACAGAAAGGATTCAAACCAGGAATTCAAGAACTATCAAGCACAATCAGCTTGTAGATACAGCAGATCAGAGCAGTCTTACACCAGAGCTGCTCTGTTGAAAGCAGTGCTGCTTCACCAGTGTAAAACCAGAGAGGGAGAGGGGAAACCACACTCATCCCAACTCACCTCATTCCCACTCTGCCAGGTCCCACTGGCCAAAGCTCCCGGGTGTGTGGGAGCTCTCAGCAGCCCCTGATGGGCAGCAGCTGCCTTGGGCTGTGCCAGCAGCCACACCGGGCAGGGGAGAGGGCAAGAGGAATTCACAGACCACTGCCAGAGCTTCACTCCATGGAATCAGCCTGGATGTCTCCTGCAGCTCCACCAGGAACATCACCCATCTCTGTGGAGCATTTGACGCCCAGGGCCGGCAAGCTGAGCCAGCTTGGAGGGGCAGAGTGCTCTCCATGGTTTCCATAAACAATGTTGAGGAAAATATGATTAATTTTCAGTGCTTGAAAGTGCCTTTTACACATTGCCACTGTGATGTGATCCTGGGAAACAGTGTGTGGCACAAAGGAGTTGGGATCTGGGCTGATGCTTTTGGGAAATCACATGCTGCATGTGGTTGTCTGGTGGTTTTACTGTCGTGGCTGGGGGAAATGCTTCTTTTGTGTGCACATTCTTGGGCTGTCGATCTCACAGGCTGCTGTCTCCATACTGCTGGTAGGTGGAGTCAGCTCTTGTTTGTCTTTCCAGCTGCCCAGTGGCTCTAGAAGGGACCGAGACCCTGGGGACATGGGTAACATGCTCATCCCCTCTGAGAGTCTTAGGTAAATAAAACTGGGCCATCCCTGAACAAGGCACAGGGACAACAGACAGGGGACCTTGGGGCCTCTCTCAACTGTTGAAGGAGCAACCACATCTACATCTTCCCTCCTGCTTGTCAAAGCTGTTTGTAAACCTCTCTAGGGAAAGGTAAAGTACATGGGACGAAAGGAAAAAAGGAAAGAGGCCAGAATGACTTTGTAAAGGACATGTTGTCTCTGTCAGATCCAGGCTTGGCACACAACTTGTGCTTAGCTGGTAGAGATGAAGTGTCCACGCAGAACAGGGAGCTGCCTTGGATGTGCTGGTGCAGCTCAGCTGGGTGTTTGCTGCAGGGGAAGGAGCACTGCCCATGGGCCAGCACACACCACCATGCTGAGGAAGCAGCAGAGCTCACCTGGGACAAATCCCAGAGCCAGCTGCTGGAGGACCTCTGCACGAGAGCAACGTGCCAGAGCAGAGGCACCAGCATCTCCCAGGGCACTGCAGGAGGGGCAGGAGTAGCTCCCACTCTAGCTCAGCCTGCTGAGGTTCATAGGAACGGCACAAATCCTGGTCCCGTTCTTTCCTTGGCACAGCATGGAGCCAGTGGGGTCAGCGCTTTCCTGGACTGGGATGGAGTGGGAAGCCTCTGAACCAAACCAACAAGGCAAAGCCAGTGTTCTGGAAGGCCTCTCAGACAGCTCAGGTGTCAGCTGCACCTGGCAGCTGCCTGCCCTGTGCCTGGCCCCATTGTGAATGTCCCCATCAGCCCTGCACTTGTGGCATCCCTGCCCTGCCAGCCCCCCTGCCCAGCACACAGAGCTGCTCTCCCTGCCCTACACCTGCCATCTCTGCACCACACTGCACTCCCAGCACGCCATCTTTCAAAACTGAGGGAAAATACCCCATTTTTCAGCTGAAAAAACCCAAAACATCTATTAGGGAACTGACCTGCCTAAACTCATAAAGTAGCCAAGCAGCTTGCTCACATGATAATGACTATTACTAAGAATGATTAATAAGATTGACAGGCCTTTTACCTTAGAAGAGTTTCATTCAGGGACTGTACAACAATTTTCTTATAAACAAGAAACAGCAAGTTATCACTCAAACAACCATGAATACCTAGATTGACTTCTACATTCTGCATTTTAGAAATAAAGGCAAAAATGTACATTCCCCTGCCCTCCAGAAGGGCTGACTAAATGACAGCACTGAACATGGTCAAACACCACCCTTGGAGTGCCTGGGCATCATGTGCAGACTGCAACCAGGAGGGAAGTGCAGGCAATTGCAGCCAGGGAGTCAGGAATCCCGAGGAGAGGCAGTGCTGGTGCCCCCAGCCCCGGGGCAGCAGGGTGGGTGGAACACCTCGATGCTGGGATGTTGGGATGCTGGGATTCTGGGATGCTGGGATGCTGGGATGTTGGGATGCTGGGATGTTGGGATGCTGGGATGTTGGGATGTTGGGATGTTGGGATGTTGGGATGTTGGGATGCTGGGATGTTGGGATGTTGGGATGTTGGGATGCTGGGATGCTGGGATGCTGGGATGCTGGGATGTTGGGATGCTGGGATGCTGGGATGTTGGGATGTTGGGATGCTGGGATGTTGGGATGTTGGGATGCTGGGATGTTGGGATGTTGGGATGTTGGGATGCTGGGATGTTGGGATGTTGGGATGTTGGGATGTTGGGATGCTGGGATGTTGGGATGCTGGGATGTTGGGATGCCTGCCCTGAGCTCCAGGTGCTGGACAAGGCGGCTTCAGCTCTCAAGGTCCTGGAGCAACTCGGGGACCTGCACAGCACCAGCCTGTCCTGTGTAGCTGTAATCTGTTACTGTCAATTAGGCAGAAATTACGAGTTAAACCCCTCTGATGTTCCTTTAGCCAGCTGAGCCGAGCACCTGGCCAGCCAGGGAAGGTAACATCACCCTGCCCACTGGCACACAGGCCCTGCTGCTTGGCTTTCCTTTGAATGACTGCGTCTAGCCAAGCCTGGTTACTATTTGCTTTCATAATATTGAAACAAAAAAAGTCAAGAGCTTCTGACAAAACCTGATGCAACTTGCTGACGGCTCATTACAATAACAATGAGCAGCCTGGCGGAGCTCAGGAGTGTGGGGTTTCACAAACCCCGCTCCTCCTGCTGGATTCCCACCTTGTGCCGCCCTGTCAGACCAGTTTGCAGCAGCAGAACAGGGAATGCACAGGGGGAGCCAGCGGCTGTGGGCAGCTCCTGACACCAGCAGCAGCTTTGAAGGGAAGCCCCTTCTCCCCCGAGTGCTCTTCAGCACTGTTCTCCCAGAGGAAACAAAGCTGTGGCACTGCCAGTGACAAACAGGTAACTTCATTTCCTGACACCCCACCTTGCAGCAGGCTAAGGAGTTCCACCACCTCGGGTGGGAGGCAGAGACCTCACAAACACTCCAGCAAACAGTGCAAACATTCACCAGATAATCTAGAAGATAATCAAATGAAAGCTAGAAATTACTATATCCCAAGGAGTGATCACAACTGGTGATTGCAACCAACATGACAAACATCCAAAAGAATGCAGGTTTGTGGAACTCTTAAAAAAATTTAAAGCAGAACCGTCTCTAAGTGTTAAACAGTGGTTTGGACATTTAGCCAGTTTATAAGTCTCTGTTATTTAAATGTATCAATTACTTCCTGCACAATTTTTATCTCCTACATGTCATAAACTAAAAGGAAGGAATGGGAGAGCTGCTCCGTTATCAAAGGAACAACTCAAAAGACAGCTTGCAAAAGGAAAAATGACCCCCAGTTGACACAGTCTGTCCACAAGTATTCTCCCCAGTCTCCACAAGGCTTTGCTGGGTGGTGAAAACACACCAGCCAGGAAGCCAAGACAGAGTAAAAGCTTTTTTCCAATGCTGTCTCAAATGCTGCTCCAGGACCCCATTGAACAAAATGTGAATGAGCCCAGGTTTTACAGTCTTGGGGACACGGCCCAAAAGAGCACTGAAGCGTCCTGACCCCTCCCCTCTAGCCAGGAAAATATCTTCTGAGCCCTCCCTGCTGAATATTTGCCTGTGGGGAGGTCAGCTTATCAATCACAGCCTTCAGTGGAAGATCTCCTGTCTGACACAGCACGGATGCAACCGGATCAGGGGCTGACACCCCCTCGCTGCTGTAAGACAGAGATAGGAATGTTTCACTGTCACAGCAGGGTTATTAGACCTAATTACTGTTTGCAGCATGCTTTGAAGTTGAAAAGTGCCAAGCATTATTATAATATTTTAAGTACTTTGATGATTGAAAACACACAACCCTTTGGTAATCATGATTTAGTAGCACTGTAGAGTAAGCAAGTTCATGTGAGAAGCCTGCATTGTCTCCATGCCTGACGCTACTCAAACACAAACAGCTCCCCTCTGACATCATGGGAATGCTGCAGCCCCAGCCCTGCCTCCCAGATAATGCCTGGTGCATCCCAGAGATCAGCAGCGTGCGGAAAAACCCACAGCAGAGCACCCCCTCACCACCAGCATCCCTCTCGTGGTATTCAC